CACAAAAATGCTACGAAGAATACGATTCAAAAATGTAAAAAAATATATTTTTAAATTTTTATAAATATGTTTTTAATATACTAAAAAGTAAATTTTTAAAAATATTTTTTTAGATAATCCTGAAATGCCTGGCTAAAGACCAGTTGGAGTTCCTGGACGGATTGTCCTTGGATATATTTGTATCCAACTCTATCAAGATATTCCCCTACAAGTCCTTCAGTGGGACCCTGAACCTTGTCCTCATTGCTCTTCTCAGAGAACTACTGCAGACACAGACAGGTACTGATCAACGGACCTACGTGGTTTCCAACCTTTAGGTTTTATGAAAGGTTTTTTGACCTCAGGGTTTCCCACCTAATGGATATCCGACCTAAAAATTTTTAACCTTAACATTTGTCATTTTTTTTTACTTTCACGGTTTTCCGACCTAATAAGTTTCCGACCCAAAGGTTTTAAAACTTTTTAACACTAACAATAAGCATTTTTATTTATTATATTGTATATTCTAGGTCTAGCTGGTTGCTTCTTAAAAGAGGTGCAGGAGTATATTGTATATTCTAGGTCTAGCTGGTTGCTTCCTAAAAGAGGTGCAGGAGTATATTGCATATTATAGGTCTAGCTGGTTGTTTCCTAAAAGAGGTGCAGGAGTATATTGTATATTATAAGTCTAGCTGGTTGTTTCCTAAAAGAGGTGCAGGAGTTTATTGTATATTATAGGTCTAGCTGGTTGTTTCCTAAAAGAGGTGCAGGAGTATATTGTATATTATAGGTCTAGCTGGTTGTTTCCTAAAAGAGGTGCAGGAGTATATTAAAACTATTTTTGCTTCTGGAAGCCTGGATTTAAACACGAAGCAACATGAAGTGGGAGATGACACTGGGTAAGTTTTATTTTTCTTAAAGGGGCTGTAAGAGTAATTTCAAGTGACCCTCCATGCAAAGATGTTAATGCCCGATTTACAACGGTACCCTTGAAAGCTTTGTCTGATCAAGTATGAATGAGATCTCCATGTTTGAGTTTCTTCAGACTGTTTATTTTCATTTGCGGTTTATCTGCGAAAGGGACTATTTCTTGCATATAAGAAGCCAAGGAGAAACTCTCAGAAATAAACTTTTTTTTAGTCAGGAAAACGACGATATCTTCCCATTGTTTCTTAACAGATTAAGGATTCAAGGGTACCGTTGTAAAATGTAAATATGGATAAACCATTATCAAATCAACGTTGTATATTTTTCATTTAACATATTTTTGTTTGATTTAATTTTTGTCGTCTTTGCCTTTGATTTGGTTCTTCAATTTTATTTGAGAATTTGATTGACGTTTGGTAATGCTAGAATTATGAGCTCTTCTTATAAAAGAACGCAAAGCCAGTTCTTTAGAGTTATTCGATGATTTCTCAATCTTCTGTTTTGAAAAAATTCACAAGTTGGGGTTTGAAAACACTTTTAACAGCCTTAAGTAGGTTTTTTTTAGTAAATTACGTTATACAGAGACATGTCGCGGCCAGTTTTCAGATTTAAGATTAAGACTATCAGTATATATATTGTTGACCTTTATAGTTTGGGTCTCTGCAGGTCATTTTAACATATCGTCATCATTCCTTTTAATGGCGAGAAACTTACAAAATTGTCAACAAGCCCTTTCATGGATATTAAAAAAAATATATTTTAATAATCCCTTTCATAGAGGGTTACTAAAATTATGTCAAAAATCCCATAAATTGTGTGAAATTGACAATTAAATTTAGGAACATTAAGGTGTCCGATTTACAACGATACTATTGAAATTTTAATCTGTGTCAAAAAATATTATTTCTGTGAATTTATCCATTGTTTCTCAAACAAGAAAAGTGCAACACACTTTCCCAGAGAAACTGGAAATGAAAATAAACAGTTTAAAAACAAAACAAAAAACATGTCTATCTAATTAATACATGATCAGACAAAGCTTTCAATGGTACCGTTGTAAATCTGTGCATGTAGGGTCAGTTGGAATTACGCTTACAGTCCCTTTATTCCAGGGAGAAGGTGGTGGCTGTGAACAGGTTCAAGCTGAACGTGCAGACTAACGCCAGCTGTGTAGACATCCTAGTCTGGGCGGCCAGGGAGGAGAACGGTATGCATTACATGCAAGAGCTTAAGATCCGGCTCCGTTGGATCCGGAACATGTTAGCTTCCTGTACCCGGATCCCAAACCTATTGGATCCGGAACATGTTAGCTTCCTGTACCCGGATCCCAATCCATTGGATCCGGAACATGTTAGCTTCCTGGATCCGGATCCCAACCCTTTGGATCCGGAACATGTTAGCTTCCTGGATACGGATCCCAACCCATTGGATCCGGAACATGTCAGCTTCCTGGATCCGGATCTTAATCGGTTGGATTCAGAACATGTTAGCTTCCTGTATCCGGATCCCAATCCGTTGGATCCAGAACATGTTAGCTTCCTGGATCCGGATCCCAATCCGTTGGATCTGGAACATGTTAGTTTTCTGTGTCCGGATCCCAATCCGTTGGATCCGGAATATGTTAGTTTCCTGTATCTGGATCCCAACCCATTGGATCCGGAACATATTAGCTTCTGGACCCGGGTCCTTAAGAACTTTAAATATTTGGATCAACGGATTCGGATCCAATGGGCAAAATATTTACCAAAACCTGCAAAAAAACTTAATGTTCTCAAAGCAAAATCTCAACTGTCAACTTCAGAGAGATTATTAAAAAAAAATGAAATTTGTTAAGAAATTTGATCCGGATTCTATTTTATTATGTTGAAAGATGCCAAGCACTGTATGTAATTACAAGTCATATATATATATATTTTATAAAGGTTTATTTGCTGAACTGGGAAAAAATACCAGTTGATGTCCAATTTTCTTTAAACTATGAACCCCACAGTTTAAATGTTTATTCGACCAAAGGCTCAATGTGACTAAGATACAACCCCCCTTTTATTTTTCGCAAACACTCCCTTTAATTTTAGTTGCTGATAGTCTGGTGCAGAGATTGACTGATCGTATTTTATATCCTCGTCACGGGAACAGTTCAAGGACAATTCTAGCACACCTTCCCTTACTTCTGGTAGGATATATAAGTACACCTTCCCTTACTTCTGGTAGGATATACTAGCACACCTTCCCTTACTACTGGTAGGATATACTAGCACACCTTCACTTACTACTGGTAGGATACACTAGCACACCTTCCCTTACTTCTGGTAGGATATGCTAGCACACCTTCCCTTACTACTGGTAGGATATACTAGCACACCTTCACTTACTACTGGTAGGATATACTAGCACACCTTTCCTTACTTCTGGTAGGATATACTAGCACACCTTCCCTTACTACTGGTAGGATATATTAGCACACCTTCCCTTACTACTGGTAGGATATATTAGAACACCTTCACTTACTACTGGTAGGATATATTAGCACACCTTCCCTTACTTCTGGTAGGATATACTAGCACACCTTTCCTTACTTCTGGTAGGATATACTCGCACACCTTCACTTACTACTGGTAGGATATACTAGCGCACCTTCCCTTACTTCTGGTAGGATATACTAGCACACCTTCACTTACTTCTGGTAGGATATACTAGCACACCTTCCCTTACTTCTGGTAGGATATACTAGCACACCTTCCCTTTCTTCTGGTAGGATATACTAGCACACCTTCCCTTACTTCTGGTAGTTTAGTGTTTTATTCTGACAATTTCCTGCTCATTGTTTCTGAAGTAGAAATGCGCAACTTACTTTCATAGGGTTTCATTGTTAGTCGAACATTCCACTCTAGAAATGGCTGATTTTTTTACTATTAATTTCATTAAGGTTTGCCTTGATGGACTGGGAAATTTGGCGGAAGAGCATCCGGTTCTAGCCGCCTCGGCGATATCATGTCTCAGGTTATAGTACTTCCGGCCTGTCCTTCATTATTTCCGGTCAGTTCTGCCGACATCATTTTAAATTAAAAAGGCGCAAAAAAGAATCTTAAAATTATGTAAAATCATTTAAAAATATTAGCATCCGTTTTTTAAACATTTAGACATCTAAAGTTCAACACTCAACATGTTTTAAAATGAACAGTAACAAACGATTGGTTTTTAGCGTTCGGACTTTTTTGGTATAATTTAATAAAAGATAACTAATAATAAAAAAAATCTGAAATTAAGTAAAATCCTAGAATCTATATCTATATACATTACTTGTTTGTTTGTCTGTCCGTTTGTATCCAATAAACGTCAAAACGGCTCAACCGATGGGGCCCAAACTTTTTGCGGGACCTCACGTGACCCCAGGAAATGTGTATGGATGATCAAATTTTAAATTTTTTTAATAAATTCCGCGAAATTTTTTATTTTTTATTTTTTACAATTTATACAAAGAAAAAATGTTCACAATTGAAAAAGCATAGCAACTATAAAAACTAAAAACAACCATACTCATTTTGCAAAATATATACAAACATTTTTTATATGAATTTAAATATTTTAAGATAAACTATATTTAGGGATTTCCTTGTAAACCCGAGTGATATTCTGGTAGAGCTGAACGACAAGGGGAGAGGAAACCATAACAAACCCGGGATCATGCTCACAGGTAAAGATATCTATTTTGAAATAAAAAGATGAAAATTCAGCATCAACTTGCAATACCCCCCCCCCCCCCCCC